TATATAGATGGTTGCAGCTATAAATGAGGGTATATTTGGCAGAAAATGGAATAATTTGCCTTGGTTTTGATGTGCGCCTTATATTTCAAAAAATTTGAGAATTCTTTATATGCCTTATATTTCAAAATGGAGGGAGTATTTTTTTTTTTTTCAAAATGATAGATTAAATAACTAAAACACATAATTACACTCGACTGAATAGCTGGAATAGGAGGACCACACTAGGCCATAGAATCCACAACACACGCCACAAGACTAAAAAAAAATAAAAAAAACTCCCCATAGAAGAGTAACACTCCTCTAAACGAGGAAAAAACAAAACACATCCCACAAAACAAAAACATGTACAAAACACAAACACAAGATTAAAACACAAAATGAAAGAAACAAGAGTCCTTCTCACATCAGCGAAACCAAAACGAACACCAACGACACCGACACCCCCAAGCGACCACCCATACGGAAAGAGACCGGTCTAAGCCACAAAGTCAGGAATTGCAGAAAATTCACTTAACCAGATCTGAGACAAAAGGATCCTGCCCCTCGCCCGGGTAGACCGCCCAAGGACCCGCAACCGAAGAAACACAACAAACTCTACCTCCCAACTCCGGCAAAAACACTCAACGACACCAATGGAAGAGAAGAGCGAGAGAAGGGATAAGAGTGGAACCGCTCAGATCTCTGCCCCGGCCACTACCGAGGGGATGGTGATAGGAGCCACACAACCACTTTCTCATCCTCGTCGGAAGCTTGCCACCGCCTAGACGCCAAAGAGCCGCCGGAGTGATGCCCACCATGGTGCCGGGAAAGAGGCGAAACCCAAGGCCGAGCTCCCGCCGCCTCACCCGAAGAATATGCCGCCGCCATGTCCGACGTGTCTCTGAAAGCCGGCCGTACGACACGGTGAAGGCCGCCGTCGTGGTGGCCCGAAGGCCCTGCTGTGGGAAGGCAAGAAAACGCAGCCGATTAATGTTTTTTTCTTTTTTCCTTTTTTTTATTTTTTGAAATAGGGGAAATTTGAATTAGAGTTTCAGCTCACAATTTTTATGTGTCCATAATATATTATTCAAATATGTTGGTATAATCAAGTATGTTAAGATCTTTTAAGATATATAACTAACTAATTTGTGATATTTATATTCTAACCTTTTAAATTTATACTAAAGTAAATTTATAGTTATACAATCTAATTAAGCTATTAAAATAACAACTTGCAATAAGATTAAAATTTATTCTATTATTAAAAATATCAATATCACTATATTATAATTTTTTTAACTTTATTTATTTTTTTGTACTTATTTAGAATTATATAAAAAGAGTTAGACAAACAACCATTACAATTGCAAGTGGTTTAATTTATTTCAATATATGTATATATGATACTTGAAAAAATATAGATGAGTCATAAGGATTCAATTAATGTGGTTCTTAATTAATTATAATATAGGGAGATCCTACGGTCCCGTTACGGTACCATCCCGTCGGTTGTTTTAACCGTTAGATCTACGTGTAGTTAGATAAGATCGATGATCCAACGGTTAAAACATCCGACGGGATGATACCATAACGGGATGGTAGCATTTCCCTATAATATAACATGCGTGGAAAGAATATTAAAAAAAAAAAAAATACATCCACATAAAGTTGTAAATTATATTTATTTTTTATATATAACTACATAAATGTAATTAAAATGACTACTTTTTTTTTCAATTTTAGGGTAAAAAACGTGTCATTTTAAATATTTATATCTCTATAATAAGTTATTTATTTTTTGTTGCACATTTATTTTTATTCAAGCATCAATTGATTGACATATTAATTTGTGTCTACTTGTAGGCTACATCCAATCATTGATAAATGTTAAGGTCCCGTTATAGAACAATTTCGTCGAGATGTGCAATCGTTAGATCATCATGTAATCGTCAGAGATAATTGATCTAACGGTTACAAAACCCGACAGAATGATTCTGATACCATACAGTAAACATCTTCTCCAATTATTAGTACTCCCTCCTATTTTTTTTTTAAATGTCATTCTAGCTTTATCAACTATTTGTCAAATAAATGTCGTTTTGAATCTTTTGTACATATTTTTTTATTATTACATTCATTTAGTCAATAAATACATTACGTCTTTTCATATTCACTCTTTACTTTTTTCTCAAAACATTCATCTCTATCTTCATTAAATAGGATTATTATTGACAAAAAAATATTTTTAATTAACTTGCAACTTCTCAAAACGACGAGGTAGTATTATTTTTCGATTTTATGCACTTGTTTTGTTTCTACCCGTCACTAACACGTCCCCAATAAGCTATATATTTTTCCAATTCGATTTCAAATTACCTCAAACCCCTCATTTTCGTACGCAATTTTCCGCCAAATTCCACTTATATTTCACAAAACCCCTTGAAAACCTAAAAATATCAGCAAAAGCCCCAAATACGCAGCAGTTACAATCTCAGACAAAAAATATATGCACTGTAATCCACGCTGCATTGGCCCCAGCTACTGTATGCATCTCCATCTCAGTTGCACTATGGTGTGCCTTGGCACACCTTGCTAGGTGTGCCAGGCTTGATCCACACGCGCCA